GCACCTGAGGGCAGAACAAGAAGCAATGGATGGAAACTAATCCAGGAGAGAAGCAACTTAGAATTAATGAGAAATTTCCTGACAGTTAGAACAATTAAACAGTGGAACAGCTTCCCTCCAGAAGTTGTGAAATCTCCAACACTGGACGTTTTTAAGAAGATGTTGGAAAACCATTTGTCTCAAGTAGTGTAGGGTTTCCTGCCTAAGCAGGGGTTGGACTAGAAGACCTCCAAGGTCCCTTCCAACTCTGCTATTTTATTCTAATTACTCAGCCCAGCAAAAGGGTCTTAAGCTCTGCTACGACACAGCCCTTGTCTCCCCCAACATTTCAGCCACGCCCACCAGAGTCAAAGCCACGCCCTCCCCCTTCAGGCATCTGTAAGAGGAGGGGCGGCGGAGGCGGCGGGAGGGCTCTTCCGAGTCCCCCTCCAGGCGGGCTCGCGGGAGGGGGAAGATTCCGTCGCCTTCCAATGGCGTCACCGCCGTCTTTCCGGAAGCGGAAGGAGCCTGGGGATGGCGAAGGCGCTGGGGAAGAGAGTCCGGGGCTTGGTCGGCCCGTGACTGCGGGGGTGCGGATGGCAAGTGTCCGGAGCGGCTCCGCCTGTTTGCAGGCCGCTGGCTCCGGAGAGCGCGCCTTGGGCGAGCTGCTGCTGGAGTTTTCGAGGGCGCAGTACCGGGCCCGGGAAAGCGGGGGAGCAGCTGGAGGTAGCGCTGCGAGCAGCGGCAATAATAAGGTAAGGGAAGAAGCTTTCGTGGGACTTACTACATGGCACCCGCCTTCCCAGCATGGCCGTGGATTGGCTTCTTTTAAGATATGGAGGAGGGTCCGGGTGGCACCACGCCTGCATGCAGAGACCCGCCTGGGAAGCCTCTTGCGCGGGACTTTTAACTCCTGCCATCACAAGAGGGAGAGTGTGTTGCAGCCGGAATAGAATAGAATAGGAATAGAATAAGAAATATAATAGGAATAGAATAGAATAAGGAATAGAATAGAATAGAATGAGGAATAGAACAGAATAAGGAATAGAATAGAATAAGGAATAGAATAGGAATAATAGAATGAGGAATAGAATAAGGAATGGAATAGACTAGAATAGGAATAAAATAGAATAAGGAATGGAATAGAATAAGGAATAGAATAAGGAATGGAATAGAGTAGACTAGAATAAGGAATAGAATGGAATGTGGATGGGAATGGAATGGAATAGAATAAGGAATAGAATAGAATAAGGAATGGAATGGGGATGGGAATGGAATAGAATAAGGAATAGAATAGAATAAGGAATAGAATAGGAATATAATTCTTTATTGGCCAAGTGTGATTGGAGACACAAGGAATTTGTCTTTGGTGCATATGCTCTCAGTATATATAAAAAGACAAGATACATTCGTCAAGAATTATAAAGTACAACACTTAATGAAAGTCATAGGGTACAAATAAGTAATCAGGAAACAATATCAATATAAATAGTAAGGATACAAGCAACAAAGTTACAGTCATGTAGTCATAAGGGGGAGGAGATGGGTGATAGGAAGGCTGAGAAGATTAATAATAATAGTAATGCAGCCTTAGTGAATGGTTTGACAGTGGTGAGGGAATTATTTGTTTAGCAGAGTGATGGTGTTTGTGGAAAAACTGTTCTTGTGTCTAGTCGTCTGGGTGTGCAGTGCTCTATAGTGTTGTTTTGAGGGTAGGAGTTGAAACTGGAGCTGTGAAACAGCCTTTTAAGGTCAAAGAAATATATGGAGCATTTTTAAGTTTGAGCATTTAAGCATGGTTTGCACAGTGTGAAGCCCATCCTGGGGGTCTGCATGTTTGCATGTCTATTAAAGAAGTGGCCTCTTATTTGTATCACATGTTCCCTATACAGGGAGTCCTGGAATTGCAATTGCAAATGAGCCCAACATTTATGTTGCTAAGTGAAACATTTATGAAGTGAATTTTGCCCGATTTTAAGGCCAGTCGTTAAGCTGAACCCTTGCAGTTCTCAAGTTAGTAACATAGTTAAGTGAATCTGGCTTGCCCATTGACTTTGCTTGTCAGGAGATTGCAAAAGGTGATTACATGGCCCTGGGACACTGCAACTGCAATAAATACATGCCAGTTGTCAAGCATCTGAATTTTGATCACGTGACAGTGGGGATACTTGCAATGGTCTTAAGTGTGAAAAATGATCATAAATCAACTTTTTCAGTGGCAAAGTCAATGGGCAAGCCAGAGTCACTTAACCATGTTACTAACGTAATGACTACTTCTATTTAAAAGTTCCCTTGCCAAACTTGCCAATAAAGTTTAGCTTTTTGAATGATAAGCATTTCAAATGAATGCTACTCTATGTACAAATATGGCTACTACCTTGCAAATCCATGGGATAAATGCTAGCTGCTTAGAATATTTCTTGTTTGGATTTTTTGGGGGTATTTTAATTTGGTATTAAATATCAATGTTACTTCTTTTTTGGGTTATTGAGCTTCTAAAGTTGAGGCTATTGTATTTGAATATATAAATACTTTTATGAGGTGTGCAACATTACATTTGTTTGCTTCTCACTCATATAGGTAGAACACATTGAAAAATGCTGCCTTGAATTGTTCAGTAAGGATTATTGCTATAGCCTGATCCACAATGTGAATGGTGAAATCTGCAGTCATTACCCACGTCTGATGGTCATTTTGGAATATGAGAGCAGTGACCGAGAAAGACACACGTAAGTTGTGTCCCAGTTGTGCCCTGGGAAGACTGTGTATTTAATACCTACATTAAATATTTTTGTGCAAAATGTGCTTGCCAATCACCAAGTAGAAATAAATATGTGGACATAAATCTGAACAGTGTTAACAGTTGTATTGATTGACTGTGGTCAAGATTATTTTGTGCTGTTAGTGTCTTTATTATGAGGGTGCTTTCCTTAACTCAGCTTCACAAACTTCTGCGGAAATCTTCTGCACAGCTATTGTATTTCTTCCTGTGATTGGAATCCCTTTGATTTGGTGATTAAATAGTTCACTTGGCTAGCAGAGTAAACGGAGAAGGTTGAGACAGCACTGAGGAAGAGGCTGGTGTACCAGAACCAATCCTGAACTTAGTAGGATTAATTTTTATTAATCACCTAAACAGTTAATATTGTGGGCTCTCTTGATTCACTGGAGGTCTCAAGAAAAGATTGGACAGCTATTTGTCTTGAAAGGTATAAGGACTCCTGCCTTGGGCGAGGGGGTTGAGCTAGAAGACCTTCAAGGTCCCTTCCAGCCCTAGGATTCTGTGAAACATCCTATATAGTAATGCTGTTTTCCTGTTGGAAACTGCAAATCTTGAATCATAGGAAATAAAAATGCTTTGTATTGTATCTTGTCAGAAATACCAGTGAGTGTGTATAAATGCTGGGCTATATCAGAAAGAATGGGATAATCCCATACAATAGACCATGAATCTTACTAGCAAACTGTTCATGCAAACTTTTACACACTAAAAAAGACTGCATTTTATTTAATAGGTTTTAGTGTGGCTGATTACATTCATGTTGTGTATGATGTTACTTTGAAAACCTCTTGAAACTCAATAGTGGGCACTTCAGTGCCATAGTGAGTATGGAACTTCTGATTTATTGCTATAGGTGACCAAGCAAGTTGTTGTTTACAACTCTAATTCAGGCTGTTCATTCATAGGTCACAAGTCATAAAGCGCATGACATTTCATGTGATAGCGGCAGCTACGTAGAAAATCTGTTAGGTGATTTATGTCCAGAGTTGCATGCTAAAAAGAGTAGGCCTGATTATGTTCCACCCAGTTCTCCTTTCTGATAACTTCACTCTACTCTGAAACACATCAGCTTTATGCTTTAATTCCCTTTTTTGCAGGTAAATCACAAATTTGAATAATCACTAACCATCTGGCCATAAGTCGAAGATTACCTGAATTCTTCCTTTTATGGTTGAGTATCAAGATGAGGGCAATATTACTGACAAAGGTTTTGTTTATAGCTTCATATACTTTTCTTTCCTAGGTGCTACATCAGTATGTAGTCTCTGTACTAAACACATTCAGTAATACTTCATTCTTTTCTATCTTTCTTCATTCTTCTATTTGGAACTGCAAATTTCTCTTTTTTAATCTTCTGTGAAAGTACAAAATATCTACAGATCAGTGGTGGGTTGCAGGCGATACGCCCGGTACTGGAGCCTGCCTGGAGCACCGGATACCGTTCCGGAATGGTGCTCCAAAGGGCCCACCCGCCTGAGCTCCTTACCTTAAGCCTTCGGCGCTTACCTGCATGGCGCATAATGCGCCTGTGTAACGCTCCGCTGAGCAGCTGGAGCATCGCAGAGGCTTGGGGAGATGTCGCAGGCAGGTGCGATGCTTGTGCGCGCTGTGCACGCTCATGTGGGTGACACCGGGCCCGTTCCAACCGTACTGGTTGGAACAGGATCCGGAACCCACCACTGCTACAGATTTTCCTCAAATGCAGCAGTGGTTTAT